TACAAGATGCTGACAATAAGTGAACAGGAATTCAGGCAGCAGTTCTTTGGTGGAATAAAGCTGTTTTACACCAACTCAGGGACCAGACAAAATTTTTACAATCTGCCTCCCTCTTCCTAGTATTCGCTTACATCAACCTCAAAAATATGAAATGCAAAATTCACGCTGTGTTTTCAAATCATGGGCTCCAAGATAGACAAAACCCCATATATTTATTGAATTGCCAAACTCATCCAGAAACAACTGCCTGTTATTTTAAAACAACCAAACAGAAGGAGGTTTTGAGCTTTTTCAGTGTAAAAACATTTTTGTTCAACTTCTACATTTCAAATCTTTTAAGCTAATCACAGTGCTTCAGAGTAACACTATCTCCTGCCACCAAAGGAATTTGCTGCTGACCTTTTTCCTACTTACCATCTTTGCTGATGAAAAAGCAAAAAAACTCTCTCTGTGTTATGTGAGAAAGTCTGCAGAGCAAAAAGGATCCTCTGCAATAGCTTTTAGGATTGTAATTTCCAAGTGGCATTGAAAAATATACTTTTATTTTGAGAGAGTTATATATGTATATAAATCTATTTAATGAAAGTAAAACAACAGCTTGCTTTTTCTCTCACAAAAGTAAATGACACAGCTCCTGTGGGATTTTCAGAGGGATCAGGTTCAGGAATACAGCAACTCATATTTCACCCGTGCACTTTTTGCCTGCTGATTAGTATTTGTAATGGGGGTTTCTTTGGGGTTGTTTTGTGGGTTTTTTTGCTGATATTAGCATTTTTCAGTTGAACAGATTTCATGTCCCTGATTTTACACCCTATTTACTTGACTTTCTTCTACACTGCAAATATTTGAATTTCTGCATTAAACTGTGAACCCAGTTCTCAAAAACCTATATCAGAGTGAGATTACAATAAGGGAATCAAAAACTGAAAACACATTTCTTCAGTCAGAACTTCTCACAGCAAAATTAACTGGCATAAGTGACTTCAAAAAGTCAAAATTAAAGATAGATTAATTGCTGTTTTACTTTCCCTGCCGGTTTTCATCTTACAGATCCGTTCATCTGTCAGTGCATTGCTGTTTCCCAAAAGGCCATTCAGCTGGATAAGACATTTCCTGATTGCAGCAGTAATTCTTGCTTTTAATAACCTGCTTGTAATTTTTGTTCCGACTATTAAAGACATCTTTGGATTTATTGGTAGGTTTCATCAATACTTTTTTGTTTACTCTGTTAATCCTTGCCGTAACATATTTATATTCATGGACCGAATGACAGTTTCAGTTCAGGTCTTATAGTAGGATAATATAAACACAGATTAAAGTTAAAAGGGAAATAAAAATTCCAAAATAGCTGACAGACAAATGTAAATATTACCCAACTTTGTTGCTACCTTGCACGAGTCACAAGGAATTAAATAAACCCAGTATGAAAACTGGTAAGGAATTCCCGTTTTGACAAAAAGAGCATTTAGTGCATGTGGAGGAGAGGGAAATCATCTTTGGTTTTCAAGCATCTATAGCCTGAACAAAATGCATTGACTTCCAAATTGTGATGCTGGAAAAAGGAGAAAAGTGACACATCTCTTTCAACATTCACAGTTCTCTTGCTACCTCTTTCTTTTGGTCAGATTTGGCTTCTGATCAAAGAAGTCCATGAAGAGTCTCCATGCTCTGAGCAGCTTGAGGACTCAGGGATGCAGATGCCCTTAAGAAAGATACCTCCGTAGGGTTTCTGCCTTTTTTTAATTTTATATTCCACATAGGCGGTCAGTTTGCTCCTCCTTGCCTTTTACACCTGGGCCACCATGCTGGTGGAATAGGCACTTCCAGGGCACAGTTCATCCACCCTCTTTCAACATCTGTTTTCTGGGATCATCACACCCAGGGAGTGCCTGTTTGTCCTTGCTTGACCAGCTCACATGCAGACATCCATATTGCAGGCAGTCACACCAGTTTGAACAAATCCTCTCAGTAATGAGTGCCCCTTGGGACTATGAGCACTCAAACAAGTGTCTGGACATAAAATCATAGAATCATAGACTGGTTTGGGTTGGAAGGGACCTTAAAGATCATCTACACCCTCCACTAGACCAGGTTGCCCAAGCCTCATCCAACCTGGCCTTGAACACTTCCAGGGATGGGGCATCCACAACTCCTCTGGGCAACCTGTTCCAGTGTTTCACCACCCTCATTGCAAAAAATTTCTTCCTTAGATCTAATCTAAATCTACCCTCTTTCAGTTTAAAGCCATTATCCCTTGTCTTATCACTACACACCCTTGTAAAAAGCCCCTCTCCAGCTCTGCACGAGTGCTGTCTACAGAATGCTGTGCAGCTGGACTTGGAAGAACAGCTGCCTCCACACATGCTGTCCCTTGCACCACACTGCTTATGTGTCAGATAGCACAGTGCTCAGCTCTGCTTTCTCTTCCAGGTGCCTCTTCTGCTACCTTGCTGATTTTCATCCTCCCTGCTGCCTTCTACCTGCGGCTTGTTGAGAAGGAGCCTCTGAGGTCTCCCCAGAAGATCGGGGTAAGGGAGCTGGCAGCAATTGCAAAAGGAAGGGTGAGAGGGCGTGTGGTTTCCACTGGTCACAAATACTGGGCCCTTTGACTTGCAACACCCAGCAGTTGCTCATAAATCATAGAATTATAGAATGGTTTGGGTTCGAAGGGACCTTAAAGATCATCTAGTTCCAATCCCCCTGCCACAGACAGGGACACCCTCCACTAGAACAGGTTGCTCAAAGCCTCATCCAGCCTGGCCTTGAACACATCCAGGGATCTGGCATTCACAGCTCCTCTGAGCAACCTGTTACAGTGCTTAACCACGTTCATTGTAAAAAAAAATAAATGGTAGTGTCTCACTCAAAATACACATCAGGCAGTGATTCACCTTAGCATGGAGAGCCAGGCTTCACAAGCCAAAGACGTTAGTGCCCTACTGCTGCTGATACACAACAGTAAGTGTCTAGGTTAAAGGGTGTCTTAAATCACCAGAAAAAGGCATTCGTTTAATCCAATCTAAGCTCTAGATCGGATTAAAGTGCAGCTCTAACACCTGCACTTGCATAAATATCGCCTAGACAGTGTATAAGGAGCTGTTGGTTCACACTAGAAGGCCAGTTGGATTAAAAGGAAGATTTGAGGTCAAGGTTAAGAAAGAAGTTGTACTGCAGATATAATTAAGTAATAGTGAGTTCCCTGCTGAGATAGATCCATACACCTACAGGAGACATATATGAAGGTCTATCATTTACATCATGCTGTATATTTCATCTTGAACATCAACAGCTATCTGCTACGTTTAACAGTATCACCAAGGACTTCTCCTTTGAAAATTTAATCAGGAAAGTTATTGTTCAAATATATATGCAGGTTCATAATGTAAACAGAGGTACATATATTCATCTACATACATGTTCACAAAAAAACACAGAAGCGAAAATTCAACCAATACATACTGCAAGTATAAAAGAAAAGGTTTGTTATCACAACATCATTTCTGAGAATTATTTTTGGGGCTCTTATTATTTAGAGAGGCCGTGAATATTTGTTCATGTCTCTGTTCATTCTTCATGTTTCTGTGTGTTAAGCACATGTAGAATTTCGCACCCTGCACTGAGATCACATACAATATTCATCTTTGTGTTGCCAGGCTGAATATTGTTAAGTGTGGACAGATTACGGTAAACTAAAGCCCTGCTAAAGCAAAAGGGGAATTTAAGCATCTGAATCATTCAAATATATACAGAAATGCCTTCAGGGAAGAAAGATGGGCTTACTTGTTTGTCTAATAAGGATGAAAAGGATTAACGCTGAAGCTGTCCTTGATATCAGAGACAATGATCACTCATTGAAAATTGATCCATTTTTAAAGAAAAAAAAACTGTCCCTCTGTTATATTTTGTATTATTGTTCATAATAACAAACTGGATTTTTTCTCAGCTCTGATCTTGTAAAGCCTGGCTCTCTTAGACTGAAATTCACACAGGACTAACTTGGATTCACGTAGCCCTTGCTTGGGCTTTAGTCACAGAGGACGACCCAACCTCAGTCCCTGAACATTACACAAATGTGGTTCCAGTGGGACTGTCTGTGCACTACAGTCCGCTCAGTCACTTGCTTTATTAATAAAATTTCATTTTCCAATTGCAGGCTCTAATTTTTCTCATACTTGGCATAATCTTCATGATTGTGAGTATGACTCTTATTGTAATGGACTGGATTTACAATCCCCCAAGTTCCAGACATCACTAACCTATGGAGACAACCAAGTGCTTTTTATACCATAAATATTTGTATTGTGTGCTCCGAAGGACAGCTAAACGGGACTGTTATTCCTAGCTAGTAGCTGCAGTATTTCGAAGGCTGTTTCTGGTAAGGTCACGAGAACCCAATGGAGTCTACGTCATCCTTTTCACAAAGGATCGTTATTTATGCATCAGGAACCTGAGCTTAGCATTTCTGGTCAGGTGAAATGAAATGTGTGGTGTGGATGCTTTCTGTTTTCAAAACCAAAATAACTGTGTACATAGTCCTCAAAAATAGCTTGGTGCCACACTTTTCAAACTCTCCCGTCACGCTAATAACCACAGTTCCTAGAGAATCCGGAAAAGTAACGGCCAGAAAACCTGTTGTTGCCTTCTTTTCTGTCTGAAGCTTGTGGAAGTGGCTACTTAGCTCCAAGAGAAAGGATATGGTTTCTGTAGGGGATCTGGAAGGTGACTGCTCCCTACCAACCTGTCTATCAGAAAGATCATGGCTTTGACAAGCCAGTGGACAAAGCTGAGCATCAGATTTGTTGCCCGAATTCATCACTCTTGGCAGGTGATGGATGTCGTTCAGAATAAAGCTCTCTGGCACAGACTCTGCTGGGGCATGTGCTCGAAGAACAGTTGATGTGGAAGATGTCTATGCTGGAAATGTCAGGCATTTCTGCTGTGGGTTTTTTTTTGTTTTCTCTATTTTTTTAATTCTTGTGTGAGCTTGCGTCACTGAACAAGTTGTATCCTCCATAGAAACTTGTCTTCCATTCTCACAGGAATTTAAGGAGACCACAAAGTGTAGCAAAGCACCCTACCCAGTATTGTTCAGTATTTGTGTATTTGATAAATGTTCAGTGCAGGAAACTGTAATTTGCTATATATAAAAATATATGTATTTATGTACATAATTTTTTGTTTTCCTCTAGTTACAAAAATATTACCCTGTGGTAAATGATATTTGAAATTTTTTTTATGTGTCACTGTTTTCATAAGCACACGTTTAATACTGTTTTGAAGAAAATATATTGGATTGCCAGGTTTGTAAAAGGTTCGTTTTTACTCAGCGGTGTTTGAAATATACCTGTAGCAAACCCTAAATCTTACCTGTGTAAAAACACATTCAGAAGTTTACTACTTACGTTTCAATAAATTGCAAGATATTTTCCGCTTGAGAATTTTTAACACGTGCCTCAAAGTTCTGTATTACCATTGTACACCACAAATTTGAGTAACTTGCTTGATTGCTTTACCTTAGCTTGTCTATGCGTATGCAAGCATTCAACAACATACGTAATTAAGCCACACAAAAGAAAAGTCATTACTGACAATCTCAAGAGTATCATGCTATGCAGATGTGCAAGGCAGAAAAGAACCAAGAGGTTCCATGTTATATGGATGCTTAATTAACACTCAGTACTCTCCAGATTGTGATTTTGGCTGTGCTGTGGAGTACCCACTACATATGCTCTCTGTACACGCTAGGGAAAAATAGTCAGAGAAGTCACGTTAACTGCATAGCAGAGGCAATGAGTGGGAGGGTGCGACCGATTGGTTTTAACACACTTACACAAACCCAGGCTCATATAATTAGAGTTTTCATTTTCCATCTCAGAAATCTGTTCAGAACACACCTGTGAACTCAGGAAGCCATAAAGCACAGAAAAGTTGTCTCTGCTCACTCCGCAGCTTTGCATGAAATTCTCTCTGTGTGTATGTGTGCATAAATATGTTTATACTTAAAGGTTAACTGGAAAAGCGTATCAAATATATATTCCATGCCAACCTCTATCTCTTGGAGCAGTATTTTATTCTTGCTTGAGTACGGTATCCCTACTATATTGGGCCATGCTTCCTCACTAATGTCAAGTCTGGTTTTGCATTTTTTAAAGAAAAAGGTGCCAATAATCTTTTGCTCTATTTTAAGCAGACTAATACAAATAATGTGGCATTATTATGGAAGAGACCTTTAACATGGACAAGAGTTAATAGTAACACACCCACACATCTCTCTTCCTGTTGCCATTACTGAGAGTTATATGTATGGAAGAACTGAACTGTAACTGCATCTTTGCTTCAGAGCAGAAGCACATATAGTGACTGCAGCTGCATATAGAGACTTAGGAATTCCTGTAGCCCACCTGAAACATAGATGACCACCAGAAAAGTAGCAGAAAATCTGTGGAACAATGGCATAACTCCTTTTTCATGGCACAAAACTGTTGGTGTCCAAAATAGAGGTAGAGAGTCTGTAAAATGTCAATTTTTCAAGTTAAAATATGTTGGTCACAGTGATAAGCAGCTGCTGCGCACGCTGGGAATAAGGGTAGTATTGCACACTAACTTATTAGCACTGCTGGGAATGGCGGATGTTGGAGTTTCTTGTTCGTTTTGTAATGTTGACAATAGGCCTCCTGAGGATTTTTATTACAAAACCATCCATTGATGTATAATAAACGAATTTTTCAAAGACTGTAGAACTTTTTTCGTCTGTTTTAGGCCAGCAGGAGAAGGAATCTTTTGAAAATCAAGTGGAGTCAAACTGGTAGCCTTAACACGAGCTTCACTAAAAGTGCTTTCCCTTTTAAGAGAGAAATTTGTGTGTCCATCTATCTGCGGATAAGCAAGACAGCAGAAATGGCAGCCCCTTCATATAATAACCCTTTTTGCACACCCTGTTTTGTAGCTATTCATGGAGCTGCATAGGCATCACTGGGTAGAGAATGGCTCGTGTTAAAAGTAGTGTTATCGGTGAGATACTGAATGCCTCGTTCTTTGGAGCGTGGGATTAGCCAGGATACACAGTATAGCAGCTAAGTATAGTCACTATTAGGGGCGCGCACCAGATGGTATCGCTCTGTATAAATACTTCCTATCATTGCAGCTGTAGGTTTTCCTGCTGTTGCATATTTGACTGGTGTATAATCGTAGCCCGAAATACACTGGGTCTATGCACCACTCCAGCACCGATGAGTTCATGTGAGAACCACGCTTGCGGACCCAGCCAGGCAGCGTTTGCAACCTGCCCACTCACGTGGGAGGCATTGCAGACCCAGACGCTTGCTCAACACCTACCACACGAGCATCCTCCCTAGTTTTCTCCTTCTCCTGTGGTTAGGTATCTTTAATTCCCTGCAGCATCTCCTTTGTTCTGTTTCGATGGTTCTTGAGCTGTAAATTTCTTGCGGCAGGAGCTTGTTTCAATTAAACAATTAAAATTGTGGCAAGTGAATGAGGGGAGTTAAAGAAAAGGAAGAAACATGTCTTTAAAGGCAAAAAAGAAAGCAATGAAAATGTATTAGACATTTTAGCGGTCACAGAGGCGTGTCATTAAATGAATGTGACAAGAATGCCAGAAGTGATATAGAGAAAACAGAAGTAATCAATAAATATTTCAGCTCTGGATTCAGAAAGAGGCAGAACAAGAGACACTTGTTATAGGTCAAAGTCCTCTCTAGTCCACAAGGAATCAAAGATGATGTTAAACAACATCTATCTGAAAGAAGGGCAGCAGGCCTAGATAAGCCACAAAGCAGCTGGCTCTGGTGTTAATTTTCAGTAAACCTCAGCATGCTCGGGTAGTTCTCAATGGCTGACATAATAGTAATTAGAGCTAGTCAGCAATTACTCACCGAGAGGTCCAGTTGGTGCTATAGGTGGAAATTTCCATTCATTTGGCTTTACGTTTCAATGGAGGTTGTACAGCAAATGTGCCATTGCAACTAAATTCTGGTGGAGCCCAGGCAGACACGAGCAGAAACCTGCCTGGTTTTCCATAAACCCTCCCAGCAAGGTGCTGGAGGCTCCTGGGGGTTACAGCTCCTGGCTTCCACTTCCCCTGGCAGCTGGGTCCCTCCGGGCTGGGGACCTCCTATAGGGCCAACGTGCTGACAGCGTGGGCAGCCCAGGTGCTTTGGCTGGGGGTCCAGGGTGAGCTTGAGGTTGCAAAGTTCCCTCCCTCAGCACCGCGGTGACAATCCTGTCAATATTTCCATGGTATATTGTGCAGTCCAGTAGCATCCTGTAAAAAACAAAAACAACAAAGGTAATGTTTTTAGTTAATTAGGTCATCACTTACAGCAAATACTTAAAAGCTTGTGCTGAACCTGGGTGATAAAGAGCATGGGAGATATGAAGCTGGAAGGGATCTCAAGTAACCTCCTATTCCACACCTGGGGTAGATAACAGTCTTAAGTTAGTGTTTCCGGGCAGCAAGGTTGGCTCTACCTGCTCATTTCAGACATTTAGTAAAATACATGTTAAATAAAAATAAAAAATGAAATTAAAATTAAAAAAAAAAAAGTAACTCTGCTAACTGATCTCACAACCACTAAACCTACAAAGAGCTGCTGTTTCTATCGATACCCCAGTATTGTCTGGACACTGAGATGCTGGATGGCCCCCAAGCTCCCCTGAAGCTGAGACAGCCCAGTGGAATTCACAGTGCTGCAGAGCTGTCACCTTTGTCAGAGGAGCATAATGTTGAATCACGTCACATGGACCCCTGTGTTGTGGTTTAGCCTGGCCAGCAACTAAACGCCAAGAACTGCTCGCTCAACCTCCCTCACCCCTGGGGGAATAGGGAAGAGAATTAAAGGGGAAAAGGGAAGGGGACTCATAGGTTGAAATAAGGACAATTTAGTAATAATAATAATATAAATTTAAAAGTAATAATGATAAAATATTAATATTATATGAATATATATAATGATAATAATTACACAAACAAGTGATGCACAGTATAATTGCTTACCACTTGGTGACCAACACCTGTTCCATCTAGCCAAGCAATCCTAGAACAGATAAGTACCAACACCTAGACAGGTGAAAGGCCCAAAAAGAGTGAGAGACAGAACTCCAAGAGATCAAGAGAGTCCCACAGAACAGAATGAAATTATTTTAACTTCCTGGTCAACCCTCATCTACGTATTGGGCATGACATTGCATGATATGGAATACTCCATTGGCCAGTTTGGCCCACAATCCTAAGTCTAA